GCGAGGCGGCGCGGGGGCGGCGGCGGCTCCGCTCCCGGCTCCAACCGGAAGCGCGGGGGACGGAGCGGGAGACGCGGTCGCGCCGGTTGCAGCTCCCTCGGCGGCTCCGGGATCGGCGCCGCTCGGGTCCCGCCAACCCGGAGCCCCTCGGGAAAGGTGAGGACGGCGAGGCGCCCCCCGCGCTGGAGGCGGCGGCGCGGTCGGTGCGCGTTCGGCCGGGCGGAGGGAGGCGGCGGGCAGCCGGCGGGGCCGGGCCGTGCCAGGGGTGTCCCCGCCGGGTTGAACGTTCCCCGTGCTGAAGCAACTCGGGAAGCCCTGGGGAGGGAGGTGGCGCGGCCTGACCTTGCGTCGCCCCCGTCCCGCCGCCCCCGACAAACCCCGCGAAGGCAGCGGCGCCCACGCGCGGTGGGACGGGGGTCGGGAGACGGGCCGAGCCGGGAGCACCCCGATGGGCAGGCGGGACGGCCCGGCCGCGGGAGGTGCTGCCAGCGGCGGCCGTCCGTGGTGGCGGGCAGCGGGACACGAGGAGCGGGACACGAGCAGCCGGCGTCCCGCCAGGGGCTGCTGCCCTCGGCCACCCCTGCGCTGCTCAGGCCGCGTTTCAAACGTGTTCACTTCACGCGCACCTGCTGCGTTTTGCTGTTATTTTGGGCATGAAATCCCCCGGGTTGGGCTTTGAGGTGTATCTTTCATTCTCTCCGTTTTTTTCCTTTTCTCCTTCTTTTTTTAAGTAAACTGGCGATCTTTGTTTTTGCTGTGTTGGCTCAAGTTAGCTCGTTTCTAGCAGTATGCCCTTTTATTAAGCACGCGTGTGTGTGAGCCATCCATTACCCCTGTATCCAGCATGCTCTGCTGGGAGTTTTAGCGACAGAGCCATCGGGAAAGCCATGGATCATTACTTTTTCTAAGTTCCAGAAGCAGAAATAATTTGAAAGCACTGGATTAACTGGGTCACTGCCTGAAAGCATCATAGCTTTCCGCTGGAGGCATGCAGTTAGATGTTTTCAGGACTTTGTCCTTAAATTGTAAGTCCTTAGAAGCTTACTTGTTTTATCTATCAGTAATGTGCTTTGCATACTGGTGGCATTGTGTGAATAATGGTAACCCCGGAGAGCCTGGCTTACTGACGGAGGGGAAGGCTGACAAAACTAAGGCCCGGATCCTTCAGTCTGGCCTGTGCCAGGACTGAGCTTTGCTGTGGGCCTGGATGCAGGTTTAGCTGCCTTGTCTTTCTTGCATGCATGTGTACTCCTGTTAGGCATCACTTACAAGGTATAGTGTAAGCGAAGTGAGCAGTTTAGGGTTTTTCTGAGATAAAATATTTTGTATTTAAAGCAAAGCCTTTAAACCTTTCGGTCTCTGCCATTGACACAGCTTGGGTTGAAAGTAATTCTTTTCCTGAAGTACTCAAACTGTTTAGGCTGAGTTGAGCCCTTTTTCTGCAGCAGTGCTTATATAAATTAAATTAAAATTAGGAATGTTATTAATGGAAGTTATGCATAATTCTTAGGTTCTGACAAAGGACAGGCTCAAATGTTGTTGCTTCTGTAACTAAGGTAGGCAGAGCCATGCCTCCAGTCTCACCATCTGCAGGGCTGCTGCTCAGTCTGATTAAGAAAGTTTAGGAGTTGTAGGGGCTATTGACTTTATTTTAACTTCTTGGGAGATTAGAAGATTAGAGTATGTTTAATTTGGAGTTGTACTTGGAGTTTGTTTGCATCTTATCCATCAGCAGTTCAAGATATGATTAAGGGTTTTTTTATTTCTAAAAACTACTTTCTGCAATATCTCTTGTAGGTTGATATCACTGTAACCCCTTTTCTGTTTTCTATTTGGACAAGACAGTGGCTAACCATGTTTTGGTGTTTGAGGGTGGAGGGGTTTTTGGACTTTTTTGTTTGGGGGGGGTAAATATATATTTTTAAAAAGACTAAATAAATATGCTGCTGAAAAATCCAGGTTGATATGTTCGAGGACTGTAGGCCATGCTGGATACAGAGGATGATTTGGGTCTAAAAATGGATGGTCAAAGATACTGAAAGCAAATGGACTGTTTTGCCAAATAAGGAAACTTGGCACATTCGGCTGTGTATTTTAAGATAGCACAAGTGTGGTGTGCTACTACTTTATTGGCAATATGTTGGCAGTGTGCCTTCCTGAAAGAAGCACTGAATCCTGCTTTGTGGAACCACACAGTGAAGTGAGGGCAGCGAGTGGCGTGGTTGTGATCCTTAATAAATTACAAAGGGTGTTCCTGAAGTAATTGAATGCTTGAGCAGCGTCAGGTGCACGTGCAAGATGAGGGATGCAATTTTCAGTTCCGCAGCCACGCACTAAGCAAAATATGAGTTGCAGTTACTGTGCAATTTGTGCTGAATTCTTTCCTGCCCCCTGCCTCTAGCTTGTAAGTCTCTCAAGCAGAAGTTCTCTATACTCTGGGAGCAGTAGCTGAATGGCAAATAGAAGGGTCTTCTGGTTTGTATGTGGAATAAAGCAGAGTGTTGGTCATGGCAGCACTTCCCCTAGTTGCAGCCTGTTTGTAGGGAGCTGTGAGGTACAAGTTCTTCCAGTGTCACTGTGGTAAGATGCAGGGCAGCCTTCAGGAGGGTTGGTGTGCAACCTGTCTGTCTAGGTGCTTAGGGGTTCCCTCACTTTGTGGGGGCCTGGGTGGAGCAGAAAGTGTGGGACCTCAGCAGGGTCAGGCCCCCACATGGGTTAATCCCCTAAACTACTGTAATCACAAGAAGCCAGTGATGGCAGATGGTTTCCTACATCTACATTTTTTAGTGTACTGAACTGAGCTTGTGGTGACATAATGGCTTGCTGCAAAGTGACTCTGTGTAGTGGAACTAACATGTTAAAAACTAATGTTAAATAATGCTAAATGATTACTTGAAATGTTAAATGCTGCCAAGGGCAGCTCAGATATTTTACTTTTTGGTATGAAATGAACAGCTTCTAACAGCATGCTCGAGTAAGTTACCATGAGGGAAAAGAAAGACTCAGGAGAAGATGGAGATGTTGCTGCAAGATCACAAGCTCGTGTTAACTGTTAGAAATAAAACAGAAAAAGGAGCAAATGCTTTTTCCTCCAGGAAGATCCAGTAGGAATAACTGAAATAACCAGCAGTTGAGTTGTTTCCTGAAACACCTGCCATTCACTGTTTCTGAACTGTCATGTTTTCATTTAGTCAAGAACAAGCAACACAGTCAGTCAGTGTAGTGTTCCCCTGGCTGCGCAAGGACGGTGGCTAAGCGCTTGAGACCATGTGAGTGTGGAAGGATGGTGTGGGTGCCAAACCTTCCTTATGCTGTGTATGGGAGAGTTGCTGTCACCCCGGCCCCCAGTGCTGCAGAGGACTGCTCTCCTGGCTGCAGAAGTGAAAGATGTGAAGAAGTGCCACACGTTGTTGGAATGCTGTGCTTGTTTCAGATGCAAATGTAAGACTGTGGAGTTAACTGAAATACCTGATCTATTTTTTTCCTCTGAACCAGTGGTATAAACTCTGATTGTTTAAGAAGGATGACAAGTTAATAACTGTGCAGATTTATCACGTGCAGTTGTTACTCTAAACAGTTGTTTTCTTAAACATAACAAAGAGATTGATCTCTCTAATTGAGGATTAACTAGCTTGCATCCGAAAATGTGGAGTCATGTTTAAACAGGTCTGTTTTTTCATCTAGAAGGAGAAAATGAACTTAGGCTGTTGTTAATTACAGATCTCCAAATAAAGTGTCCCTTGTAAGTCTCCTCTACTTTCTCTGGAAAAAAGCATCTGGAAGAACCTGATACAAACCAATGAATCATTGTTAAAAAATAATAATTTATTGTATGCTGGTGCCTATAGCATCTCTACCACTGCTTGAAAGGAGGTTGCAGCCAGGTGGAAGTCAGCCTCTTCTCTCAGACAACTAGCAATAGAACAAGAAGACATAGTCTTAAGCTGCACCAGGGTAGGTTTAGATTGGACATAAGGAAAGATTTTCTTCACAGAAGGGGTGACTAGTTATTGGAATGGGCTGCCCAGGGTGGTGGAGTCACCATCACTGGAGATGTTTAAGGAAAGAACTGGATGTGGCACTCAGTGCCATGGTCTGGTTGACAAGGTGGTGTTTGGTCATAGGTTGCGTAGGTTGGACTCGATGATCTCAGAGATCTTTTCCAGCTTAATTATTTTGTGATCTGCAGCTGGTTGACTGCTGTAGGTAAATTTGAAATTGGGGAGGTGTTTAAAGGGTGAACAGTAGCTTCTGCAAATGCTTGTGTGCCGGGCAGAGCATTGTGAGTGCATTAATGTTTAGGTAAAATCTGAAGCACTAAGGAGGACCCATCAGAAAAGTTCTCACTTGTGTTTGTTTTCTCAAGTGTCTGGTGTGCATATTTTTCTGTGCTGGTGTAACTTCCAGAAATCAAATAATTTACTGGTTTGTATGGGTAATTTGGTTCTTCTGGGTGAACAATAATGTTAAATAATTTGACAGCTCTTCAGAGCTATTGAATTCAGATAGGCCAGAAATACTTGCTTCCTGTGATATATTTTTCAGTTGGTTTTCTGTTCCTTCTGCCATCCCAAATGCAGCCATCTATAATCAGCTGTTCCCACTTCCCTGTTAAATTTATGGTCCAGTTAAATTATGGTGCATATGCTTTTGCCTATGAGTAACATCACTCTTCTAGCTAATTTTATTGTCAGTAAGGATATTGTTCATTCAAGTGTAATTACCCACGTTCGTAAATATATGCAGGGCTGTGGCCTTAAATTGTGAGGTCTCTGGTTTGGGAAGCTGACCTTTTTTATTTGTCTATAAAGTGTCACATATGCTTGAGACGCCATGTACACAGCATTAACTTGGGGTAACTGCCAGAGTAAACAGAGCAAATGAGCTTTTGTTTCTGAAGATCTGCTAATTAAGCAGCACTGGCAGAGAGCAAAATGTTGAAACTGGCTTCACTACTCTCTTAGTTTGTAGGAGTGACCAATTTCTTTTCCTTTAAGCTTTCTCTAAAGAAAATGTATGCAGGACGGTGCAAAAGATGACTCTGGGATGGCAGGAAATCTTACATCAGCAACAAGGTTAAAACAAGAACAGAAGGTCACCAGGAGAATTTGGGCACTTGTATCAGGGAAGGGGCTGCAGAGCTCTGGAAGAATGAACTTTATTTCATATCCCACTGGTAACCCCTACTCTGACTCACAGTGCTGGGGAGAGAGCATTCATATTTCCTCTCCAAGAGCTCTGCAGGCCGGCTGTCAATGAAAGGCTTGAAATCTGCCCCTTCCTAAAATGCCTTCTTGTAAATATAGTCAAGTTGTCATGGTCTGGTCAGCGTTTGCCTTTACCTTTATGGGTGGTCAGGAGTTATGAAATTAAGCAGGCAGTTTCAAGAAAGGCTTGATGTTATCTTATGTGTTGAAAAGTGTTAGTATCTTCTCTCATTTGGAGAATAGTTGCAACCAAATAGTACCAGAAATTCATGGTCAGATGATGTCTCAGTTTTAATCAGTTTTAGCTGCACAATAAGGAAAGCCAGGGGGCAGATAATGTCTTTGTGTTTCTTACAGAAGGGACTGGCATAAAGGGGGTTTGGCTGTCAGTAGTACTGGGTGTATTACAGGTGCATTTCCCAGCTCCGGACAACGCATAATGTGTGGATTCCATCTCAAAAAGCTCTATAGAATGGAAGGTCCAAAAGCACATAGTATGTTTTGGTACTTTCACTTACCATTGAAACTGGGCGTGTAGTTTTCACCAGTAACGCAATATCTCGGGTTCCTTTTTGGCTTGTTTCATTCAAACCCATTTCTCATTTTATGGTGATAAATTTACTTTCATTAATTGCAGGTATAGTAACTTTTGGTGGTAATTAAAACTACTTTGTCTGAAATGCTTCTGAAATGATCCCATGGCAGGCTTGCAGATGGTTCTAGAGGATGCCATGTCCTGCAGTCCCACTAAAGACCTGAGCTTTCTATCTTACATCATTAAAAAGAGGAAACCTAAAATTAGTCATTCTTCATGCATTTAGGTGATGATATTTCTTGAAATTCTCTACAGCCATGAGCTTTATCACCGTGAAATCTCGGAGAGGGACGTTCTGTTCCCGTCAGCAGGCTTGGGATCCTCTCTTCAAACTGCCGACACCAGTCTTGGCACGGGCTGCAGAATTTCACATATTGTAACACAGATCAGTTACCTCGTACTTGCGCTTTGTTGCAACACGCAAACAGAACTGAGTCACTCGGGAAGAGAGATTTACCACGGCCAGTTTTTTCCACGTCCCTGTGCGAAGCGCTCCGGCCTCGCCCCGGCTGCGCGGTGTGTCGCGGTGTGTCGGGTGTGTCGCGGTGTATCAGGTGTGTCGCGGTGTGTCGGGTATGTCGTGGTGTGTCGCGGTGTGTCGCGGTGCCACCGCTCGGCTGCCGGAGCGCCGCCTGCGCGGCCGGGGCGGCGAGTGCCTCATCCCTGGGCACTGCGGCGGGAGCGCGGCGTGCCTGGCGTGCCTGAGCTGCTAGGCAAGCTCCGAGCCCGGAGCACGCTTCCTGTCTGTCGGCGCGCTCCCCTTGCGACGGGCAAGGCAGCGACCCGCCTGCCTCTCGCAGCGCCACTTTCAAGGTGTTCGGGAAACGTCAGTATCCCTCTGAGGAATACTTTTAGTCGTTTCTGTCTCCCAACTGCCCCTAATAGCTTGTGCAAATTATGCAAACGTTTGCACAGCCTGCTGGAGTGCGAGTTTCCAGATTGTTTTCCTTCTGTGCCCTGTGGATTTTACTTGTAGCGTGGTTGTGATTCTAATTTTGGGATGTCTGGGCATGGGTAGGAAAGTCCGTAAATCCTTGGAGAATGTGTGTTAATGAAAGCTTTTCTTTTCACAGGTTTTGCTGTGGGATATTTTGTCATTATGAGATGTCGTCTACCAGTGCTTCATTTGTGCAAATTAAATTTGATGACTTGCAGTTTTTTGAGAACTGCGGTGGAGGGAGTTTCGGGAGTGTCTACCGAGCCCGATGGATTTCTCAGGACAAGGAGGTGGCAGTAAAGAAGCTGCTCAAAATAGAAAAAGAGGTAAAAGTTTACTTTCCATTCACTTTGTCTCCTGTGGTAACAAGAACAAAAATTCTTTCCTAGTGTCTTCCATCCTCTGGGTAACGCAGGCAAACTACCTTGGGCTTTTACTTTGTTTAATTACAAAACCCTGTAAGTGGATGATGTTAGAGTTGAGCGGTCTTAGCCGAGGGGGCTGATTTAAAGCATTATTGTTTTTACTGTTCACTGTTCTCTCCCACTTTTTTTATTTACCAGGTCCTCAGAAGGAGAGCTAGCTGTGCCTGTGGAGCTAGTAATTTCCCCTTGATACCAGAAGGCATGTTGCTAGATAGGGAGAGGTAGTTCTCACTGTCATGGCCTGATTCTGTTTTCTCCTCATGTCTTCTGGTCTCTTAAGGGCTGTGGTTCATATCTGTATGTTCACCATAGGCTTAACATTGTCTCTTCCCTGCCTGCTGCAGGTTTTGATCTAGAAGCTCCATAGCTCCGAGTTAGTCATAGCCACACTTCAGCTTGGTCTTGCAATGAGATATTTTTAAGACTAACTGTTCTACCAGCCAGCTCTCTAACTGTTCTACCCTTGTGGCGTCCTGTGCACCTGGAAAGGTGGACAGGTCCTTGGCAATCCTGAGGGAAAAGGCAGAATTAACTTACTGCACCTGTACTAACTAGGATTGGTCTATTGTTTGTTTTTTGGGTTTTTTTTCAAAGATTTTTAGATTTGCCTAAAAATCCTGTTCACCCCTCAGCTTTGTACAGTTCCAGTAGAGGCATGGTGTATGTGGTCATCACAGTGCTCTAGCCTGCCTGCTGGTCACCACCACAGATGGAGCAGTGAGGACACAGCAGTCTAGTGATGGACAACACAGTTAGTGGACTGCTGTCCCAGCGTGACTGTTTCTAACTTGTATACAATATCCTCCAAGTATTTTAGGAAGACAGTTACAAGCTGGAGGATGGCAGAGCAGTGCTAGGAGTAATAGGCTTAGTAAATAACAAGACACAAAAGTTCATCCACTGCTGCAGCAACTGAGCTGTCATGATAACACCATGCTTAGTGTTGTGATAAGAATGTTTCATCGTGATTAAGCAAATTGCTGTCTAAAATAATTTAGAAGGATCTTGTGATTTTTCCAGGATGGTGGAAGATTTATACATTCTGTCCAATGACAGTTTGGACTGTTCTCTTTATTTCTATTATTTTTTAATATCAAAAGATAGAGGAAGACAAGTAAAATTGATGCTATGCAGTATCAGTAATGTGCTCCTTAAAAATCATCTGGCTGGCAGGTCTCAGTAGTGGTCAGTGAAATACTGAATATGTGTGTTTCTGGTGGGATTACAGCTGTGTCTGTGATAGACTTGTACTTAAAGCATTTTTGGAAAGTAAATTTAAAAACAATATTACTACATCTTTGATGGCATAAACCTTAATGGAATGGGAAAGGATGGAGAAAGGACAGTTCTATGTATTACTTGACACAGTTAGACCATTCAACAAAAATTTTTTTTTTTAAGACAGCCCAATACAAAGTTCAGCTTGTAGTAACAATGAACACAGATTGTTCAGTAGGAAAAGGAAATCATATGCTGGAAAGAATTTATTATAATTTAAGGATTTATTTAGGGATTAATGAAGACTTGCAACTCATTAAGAGGTCATATCATGGTACTGTTTGGTTAAATGTCTTGCATATCCAAATGAGGATCAAGTCATTTGTAAGAACCAGGTGTGCTTTATCTTGGTATGTGGCACTGGGTGAATTGTTTTTAGGCAGTAGGTGCAGATGTGGTTCTGTTTTGTTTAAAAGAGTGTAAATGAACTGGAAGGGCAGCCCAAGGGGATTTGCAAAACACACTGAGTGGAATGTTAGAGATGGTGGGGGTATTGAAAAGGAGTGATGAATGTCATCCATCAGAGTGAGTTGACAAAAGGGGAGCAAGTGTCTTCCTGCACAAATTTGCTTATTTTCCTTCAGATTGGTTATTATTTGCAACTTAAACTAAACAAGATAGGTTATGGATGGGACCAGATTGGTATGGGCACTTTCTCTTGAAAGTTTTCTAGGAAGGCAGTGGAGAGGCAAGTGGTGATGCCTTAAATAAGTCTAGCAAGCTTTGGCAGAACTGTCTGTCAACAGTCGTGGAGACTTAAGAGCTTGTTTACAAAAGTTGCATTTTCATGTGGAAAAAATGGTGGACTCAGTTTAGTGCAAAAAGTTATTGCAAGAACTAATGGTTGGAATTTGTAGCCAGACAAATTAGAATGGAAAAAGAAAAGCACAAATTATCGGGAGTGAGGATGAGTAACGCTTGGCACAGACTACAAATGGAAGGAGTGAAGATGGAGGATCATTTTCATCTCTTTGTCTTCTCATTGAGATGTCTTTTTAGACAGTTGGTTTTGAGCTCAACACTCAGTATCTTGCTGTGTGGTATGGTGGCCTGTGCTGTACCAGAGGCCAACCTTGGTGGCCTAAAGGTCTCTTCTGACCCTAATGGCTGTCATATGTTTCCATATGTAGTATGTTCCTCTGTAGTGATGACAATAATGAACATCTGTAACTGAACTGCACTGAAAGTCACAGTGAGTCAATGACTGTTCTGATAACAATACAGAAATACCTTGCTGTAACTGTATGTGTTTAGCAGATATTTGGATGCATTTAGTCCAGAAAACTAATTATTGCTCTTTCTGGTGTATTTGAAAGGAAGTGTCCTTTTAAATCCATGACTGATTGTCTTGTATTTCTGTTAACTGCTGCCAGTAATCCATAACAACTGATCAGAGGGAAAACAGAGGAGAGCTGTGAAAAGCTTGCTCAGAGGAATTTCATGCTAGCCAAGACCAAGGGCACAAGCCAAGTCAATAGAGCTGTGGTATCATTCTGCAAATATGTTGTATCTGTGTGTCATTTTATTAAACAAGCCAATCACAACCAGCAAAGATCTTGAAGGTTTTATATTAGTCAAGGGGCTAACAAGTGCTAACATGTGAAACAAGGCAATTTTTGTTCCAGCACAGCATACTAAAATATGTGCTTAGAAAAACTTATGAATACTTGGAAGAATGTTGCTCAGACAGATTGCTTCAAAACTCTTTAAAATTTGAGAAGTACCTCTGCAGGGCATTAAGTTTTTATAGACAGGCAGTAAAATGCGACTTTACAGGAGGATGTGTGTGTTTTTGTGAATAAAATACACCTAAATAGGTCTGCTGAGAAAAATAAATATGCTGCAAGGCCTTGACTAGAATAGCAGATCTGAAACTGGGCATGACTTCTGCTGAGTGAGTAAAACGTAGAAGTACGGCCTGAGTGATTAATCAGCAGTAAAACCAAAATTAAATTGCCATTTTACTATCTAGTACAAACACTCTAGCAGTTTTGGGTTTTAAGAAGGGAACAGGAGTTCCTTGTGAATTGTTTTATGGAAAATCAAACTGTTGGTGTGATGTTTGTGATGCATGTGGTGGAGTAAAAATGCCTCCTGTAGTAGGATCTGTGCTTTCTCCTTTTGCCCTAAGTGGTAATTGTGTCCTCTCATGGAAGAAAATCGCATACCTACTATTCAGGAAGTTATTTGGCATTTTTGAGAGTGATTTATATGAATTATTGGATAAGACCATAATTTGGCTCCCACTGAAATGAATGGGAGAGATTGGGCCCAGCGTCCTTATTCTGCAAATTGCTAGCAGTTCTTTTGACTCCATTATCTTGAGCAGATAACTACTGGAGTGAAGTGTTACAAATGTTGTTTTATGCCTTGCCACATTAGCTTTTCACTGAAGAGCACTCACCTCCTTTGATTGTACATCTCTGAAGTTCACCCATTATTTGTCACTGCTTTTGAAGGCTGTGCTTTTGATGGCAGTTTGTTGGCAGCTGGAGTGTTATCTGGAGTGTGGTTCTTCACCAGGAGATTTATTCCTGCTGAAATTTCACCTGAAATTTGAATTTAATTTTAATATCACAGCTCTTTGAAAGTATTCCATGATCCATGAGCTGTCTCTGTGCTATTGATGAGCAGCAGTATTGCATCTGGTTTGCTTGCTTCAGCCATTACAACCATGGTACTTGGGTACAAGATCATTTGATTTCATGCAGTTCATGGACTCCTTCAAAATGCTGGCAGTGGTCTGTGCAAACTGCAGGAGAGTGGTGGAAAAAAACTAGTAAAATGTAACTGTAATCTTATTGGGAAATACTTAAATACTTCTGGTAAACTAAGAGAACTAACTTGTGGATAAAAGATGTTAAATTGAGTAGGATTAACTATGCATGCTTTGTTCAGTCATGTCTCTGTAATGCATTTAAGTTTTATGAGACTTAAAAATAAAAACATGTTTTCTCTAGTTTTGATGCAGTATTGCCTGAAGTCTGACTACCATGGAAGTTAATTTTATATTGTTAGGGTTTCTTATATGTAATACATGTGCAGTAAGCTTTAGGGGATCTTTTAATGCTTCATAAAAATTTTCATGTGGAATATAATACAGCGTGTTCACTTTTTTTTATTTTTATGATCCACTTCTGAAAAGAACTGTCCAGAAAACATGGATTGTGCCTCTACCTTCTGAAGGGGATGAGTTAAGTCTAACCACATGCATGTCACTAGACTTACCTCACTCATGTTTGTAGTGCTAAAAGTGAGCATGTGGTAATTTTAATGTGGGTCATGAGAGTAAGGACTGGGAATGACTTTCAGGAGTAACAAGAGAAAAACAACAGAGTAAAATAAAGCAAACCAAACCAAACTGAAATTGATGCTTAGTCCTGACAGGACTAAAAATAGTAGACATTCTTTTTGCTTGCGGTTTATAGCTGGTATGGGTGCCAGCCTTGAATATTCGACTCTCCACACTGAGTCCTGGCTGTAATGAAGGGCGGATTTGACACTTTTTATAATATTATTAGCTCTTTCTCGGGGCTCCTATCCCCTTACCTCTCTCATGTTTGAGTCATCTTGTATTGAGAGTGATTCAATGTAATACCTGGTTCCAGCTCACCATGGCGGGA